CGGGCTCCAGCTGCCCTCGGCGCACGGCGAGACCAGCAGTGAGCGCCCATGACCCGCGGGGGCGGCTTCCCCCCCCCCATTTCAGAAGCATCAAAGCATCGCGTACTTTGACAAGCACGGAAGAGTTGTACCCCTCAAAAGGGACTGAGTCGCTGCCTTGGAAAGCTATCAAAGGTGGGAGCTAGGTTTCCTATGGGGAAGGAGTCTTCTCTCAGCAAACTTTCAAGTTAAAATTCTTTTTTTTTTTTTTTTATCCAAACAGCTATACTAGGCAAAGGGTCACAACAGAGACAACTGGAGACCTTTCACCAAATTATCCAATTCAGCTTTTCTCAGAAGCCAGGGAAACCTGCAGTTCTTATAAGACGATGTAACGAGGTACATACAATGATTGATCACTGCTGTACAATTTATACAACTAACCTACTTCTCAGTGGGCGTATGTGATATTCAGTCGTGAGGTCAGGCTGTGCAGGGCTTGTGTGCTGAGTAGCGTCCCGCCCAAATTCACATGTGCCTGGAACCCCAGAATGTGACTACAGAAACGGGGTCACTGCAGATGTGATTAGTGAAGACGAGGTCGATTTGGATCAGGGTGGGCTCTGAATCCAATGACTGCGACTGCGTAAGAGAAAAGGGCACAGAGACACACTGGGGAGGAGGCCATGGAACAGAGGCAGAGAATGGAGTTCCGCTGCCGCAACAAGAAATGTCGGGGAGTGCTGAGGGCCACCAGGGCCCCCCGGCTTTCTCTGGGTACTCGGAGGGAGCATGTCCTTTTCACACCTTGACTTGCAGCCTCCAGCACCGTGAGAGAACAAAATTTCGTTGTTTCAAACTACTTGGTTTGTGGCTGCTTTGGAAGCCCTGGGACACCAACGCAGAGAGTAAACGTACAACTGAGTCAGGGTCGGCAGCTGATGTGCGCAGGCACTGAGGTGTGGGCTTCCTGCCCCTCAAGCCAGCGTAAGTATAGAGGGTGACTGCTGACGGAGCAGAGACCCTGAGTGGTGGGACGGGGAAAGCAGTGCTATCAGCAATGCGCGCAGCAGCACGAACTCATCATGTAGGTGCTCGTGACGGATTTCCGCTCTCTGAGCAGGAAATGGCAAAGATGGGGAATGTAATCTCGGAGGAGGAGGACCGAGGACAGGCGCTGGGGACTCTGCCTCCATTATTCCTCCCTTAGCTCTTGCAGGGCCGCACGGGGACGGCTTGGCCCCAGCTGCTGACGTCCTTGGTAGACGTCTCAGGGGCATTTATGCTACTCCGTACCTCTGAGCGCACAGGCTGGATATAAGCAATTGGGGTATTCCTTCTCATGAGATTTTTTTTTCATAATTTGCAATATTTTTCTCATAACCTTTTTACTAGTGCATATTGGTTATATAGAGTAATGGGTTTCCGTTTCGGCAGATTCGTACATGCATGTAACATACATGGATCGTTTCCATCCCCAGCACTCCTTCTGCTCTGCCCTCCTGCCTGCTTTCACAACTTGGAGGGGCTTCGGTGGTGTAATGTACTATGCCATTACCCTCCCTCGCACCCCTCCACTTCTCCCTTATTCCCTTCTTCTTGTCTAATATAATCTTCCTTTCTTTTCTTTTCTTTTTTCTTCTTTTTCTTTTTCTTTTTTTTTTTTTTTTGTGGGTACTCAGGGCTTTTGCCTGAGCTACATCCATGCCCCTTTTTTATTTTTTGAGATGGGGTCTCCTTAAATCACTAAATTGCCCAGGCTGGGCTCAAATTTAGGATCCTCTTGCCTCAGCCTCCCAGAGCGCTGGGATTACAGGCCTGAGGTACCACACCCGGCTCTTACTGTCTTTTCATTTTTTTGAGATCCCATAAATTAGGGAGAACAATTGATATTTGTCTTTCTGAGTCATGAAATGCTTTAGCACTGCTTTAGTTTCTGCTTTTGACATCACAGTATCTCTCTGACATCTTGGGTGCAAGAAGAGGGCCAAAGAGCCTTTGTATTCAGAGAAGAGCCACTGTGCGCTCCTTACTCACTGGATGCTAACGGAGAACAAAGACTCAGGCATTCCTGGGCTGTGCCTTCTGCCTTCCTGCTCAAGATCAGACTAAACAGCAGCAGGTGGACACAAGGAAAGGAGAAACCAGGCCTCTGCGTAGGTGCCAAAGACCAGGCTGGAAGAACAACTCTGAACTCCATTCCCTATGCTCTGCAATCCCGTTAAGATTCCAGCACTTCCTTGGTAAGTATTTCCAGAAAGATGTGCATATGGGCTCCTAAGCTTTTCAGAAAGTGTCCAAAGGAAAGAGGTAAGTCTTGTTGTATACAAACAGTTCCAGATAGAATATAATTAGGTGTGTGAACAAGTCCAAAACTACACTGGGGGCTGGAATGGTAGGAGGAGCCCTCGCGGAAGAAATAAACTTGCGTTGGTGCGATTATCACCAGTGCATTAGCCTGAGACACTGAAAGTATCTGGAAAGAGTGGAGGAAAAGGTTAAGCCGCAGCACAACAATCAGTACACATGGTTTAATGTCCATCTAATTTGTGTAAATAACACAGGCACAGAGCTATAGCTGCTACACATGCATGTGCTAAACAGAGCTGTTAGTGATACATGCCTTACTTATTTTTTAAAATCAGTGTTAGTCCTCACTGATGCCCTTTTGAAATAGTAAATGAACACCATTCATCTCACAGACCAAAAGCTTTCTTAACTCATCACACAAAAAATGTACATACTAACTCAGGAGCAATCAAATTATGACCTGCGGGTCGAATCCAAAACACTGTCTGCTTTTGGAAATAAAGTTTTATTGGTACACAGCCAAGCCCATTCATTTTGTGTATCCTCTCTGGTTACTTAAAACTCCATTGGCAGAGCTGAGAATTTGCAACTGAGATTGTACAGCTTACACTGCCCAAGATATTTACTATTTTGCTCTTCACAGAAAACTGTCTGTCAACTCCTGAACCACGCTCCTATGAATACACTGAAAAAAATCATAGCATATTTGTGGAGTGGAAAACAAGTGAATCATGCTAAATGTTAATACCTTTAACATTTTCCCCAAAATATTTGTATTTTTTTCAAACAGTTCCAATTAGATGAAGACTCTCACACACAGAGTGTTTCAGTCGGGCTCTGAAATTTTCTGTAAAACAGTTCACTAAGTTCTGGAGACTTCTAAAGATGCACAGGTCATTTCATTGTTTTTAAGATGTAAATTAAACATAATTAAAATTTTTCTGAATTTAAAATGTTTCAGACATATCTCAGTTTCTAAAACTTCCCACAGGACACTTAAGAGAATACTTTTATTAAATTTAAATAATATAGGACTCTCTGAAGCATTTTTTCTATAACTGCTATTACATTGTAGCTAATTTTTGCCAATTACCTGTAAAAGTATAACCCTAACCCAGCCCTGTCGGCCCCCTGTCTGCACATGGCAGAATTACCTTCTTCGGTAACATGCGTCTTCTGTCAGCCAACGCTACTTTCTAGTTCTAATGTTTCTCTGATTTAGGAGTCTAATTTGAACACACACACACACACGCCCGCCCACACCCACACACACAACCACACACACACACACACACACACACACACACACACACGGACATATGGGCCATATTATATCTTTTCTTAAAAGCCAGAGTCCTGTAATCACCTTTTCTAAAGGTGTATGACCCCGATTAATTGTCCGCACAAATAGCTCAGTAATTGGTTTGGAAGTTCACTGTGAAAGAAAAGAATAACCTTTCAACACTAAAGTTAGTCTGTTCACTTCTTTCTAAATGATGGTTATAGTGATAGAACTGTTTCTTCTCTTTCCCAAATTGTTCAGAATGATTTACCACATCTTAGAGTCTCTGCCAAGAAACGCATGGCCCTTCCAGACCACTGGCCACTGGGAATAATAATTTCTACGCACAGTGCTGCACGAGTCCACTGACATGAGCTGGAGGCAAGGTGACGAGAGGCGCCCGTGGCCACAGCAGTCAAAGAGGACCCAGACAGAATGGACCGAAGCCTGACGCCTCTTCCCTCCTCCTTGGTAACACTTCCAGAGCAGGCTCAGAACACACCAAGGCCAACGGTCTACTGAATAGGTCCTCAGAGAGGTGCCGGACCTCGTGGGTTTTTGTAATTTTTGTTGTAAATTCTTACTGTGGAATGGAAATTATTTGGTTTCTTGTTTATGTTGGGTCATTAGCTTTCTCCCCCTGCCCCCAACAATCTGAAAGCATAGAACTCATAGGCTACTTCTGAACCCAGAGCAAACTGTACCATAAATTACAAACTCCCAGGCCAAGAGCTGTATGGGAATCAGAAGCTCAAACACACACTCAGTGGCAGCACTTATCCGGACTCAGAGGCCCTAACTCAGAAAAACGAGAGCCCAACACACGGCTGTCATTTGCCCTGCTCTGAAAGTGACTCCATGGATGTCACCTTCAAGAAGCAGCATGAAGCTGACACACCATGTGCCTTTCCTCGGCACAAATGACCACATCCTGTGCCAGGCAGCATTTTTCTGTCTCTGTGGTTAAAAACTGGTACAAATTAATGTATAACTCGGCAGAGCTGGAATGTTAGTTGAAGCTGTGATTTGAGTCTCAGAACTTGTAGACAAATAGCCTCATTTCTTAGTTGTGAGCCATCTTAGACAAAAGGAAAAAATTCTGAGAAGTAAGTTTTTCTCCCTCTAAGACACACACATAATTGACCTAAGACTTTCATTTAGTCATTTACTCAACAGATATTTATTGCATATCTATTATGGGCCAAGTACACACTGTTCTTGGTACCACAAGTCACTCAAAACAAAAATGCCTAAAATACCGATCGTTGAAGAGTAGAAGAGAGAGGCAGCAAAATAAAAACCTTGTATCATCTGTGAAAGTGTCATGCTGAGAATTAAAATAGGGGGCCGTGTTAAAATAGCGACAGAGTTGTCAGGGAAACCTTCTGTAAAAAATAATATTTAAGATGAGATCTGAGTGACATTCATAAAACAGAAGTGATTAGATTTATCATCATAATTATTAGCATAAAAGATGAACAAGGTGAATATAAATACCGTGCTTAAAATTCACAGACACACACACACACACACACACACACACACACACACGAGCGCACACGAAAAGCCTGAAAGTATTCCATAATGATAATAGAGCACTATGTCTTTGGGAGGTAGAATAGAGGTGGCTTTTCCTTTTTTGTTTCCATTTCGGTGAACTTTTCCAAACTGTGGTATAATAGGAAAGTATGGGGCTGGGGATTTAGCTCAGCGGTTCGGTGGCCTGCCTTGCAAGCGCAAGGACCCGAGTTCAATCCCCGGTACCAAAAAAAAAAAAAGGAAAGTATGCTTAGTCTTGGTTCCTGCTCCTGCTCTGGGCACAGAGCTCCCAAAACTCCTTGAATCTCCTTCCTGAGAAGAGTATATCTGCTGCTCGAGATGAGGCCCTTTCAACAGCACTGCACCTGGGGCTTGGCTGATGGAGTGACTCACACTGAGAGCCTAGAGTGTCTCAGGTTGGGACTGGGAATTAGCAAGACCAAGGAGCTGCAGGGCTGGGACTGTGCGCCCCATCCACTGGCCTCCGGGAAGGGGAGGCGGGCGGGAGACTTGTGAGCCCTGAGACTAAGAATGCTTCCGGGTGGGGACTCGTGGAGGTGCTGGGGAGAAGGATGGAAGACCCTCGCCGTCCTCTTTGTGTCTTGTCCTACACAGCTTGTGCACTGGACTGTTTCTAGCTGCACTGTTTATAAATTAGTGATAGCAAATAAAGGGATTTCCTGAGTTCTTTGAGTGATTCTAGCAGAACATCATACCTGAGGGAGGCGCTGCAGAAACCTCTGAAACTGTCCCTGCTGTCCAGAGGTGTGGGTCGCCTAGGGGTCTGGCTGGTGCTGTGACCGTGTGTGAAGTAGGGCAGACTTACTAACACGAAAGTCTACATCTACTCCAGGAATTGAGGTCAGAACCGAGTGGTCGGACTTCCAAGCACTGGAGAAGTTGGTTATCGGTGTCGGGAAACAAAACCAGAGCTGGTGTCAGGGGCGGGGTTCACTAGGCCTTGGCTCACAGCAACATGTGGCATGGGAAGAAAAAGGGTGAAAGGGTGGGGGACGTGACTCCTGGTTGGCCACACAGCCGCCCATGGTGTGGCAGGAGCAGCAACTGTGCTGCCATCAGCTACCAAGGTCAAGGTTGTCCACGGAATGCAGAAAGGGACCCATTCCTGCGAGCTAGTTCCCAAGGTGCCTAAGGAACACAGACTAATGAGAAAAATATGAAATATGAATCGCTTGGTTACTAGCCAGGAGTTATTTCTGGTGGGCTGGACAGAGGCCGCTACAGATTTGGGCGGTTGAAGCACTGGCTGTCTGAACAGGGCGAGACGCAGGTGTGCAGGGCTGGTGTACGTTTTCAGAGTGTAGTAGGTTCTCTGGATTTGAGGGTCTGGGAGGCGGGTGGGGGCCGCACCCAGAACCGTTTGGCTTTAGTCTGTGCACCAGGCTCACCTAGATCTTCATCGTCATCGCCTGGACCTTCCACACTGTCCAAGTTTCCCACCTCTGGAGGTTTGGTTAAACTGTAATCGCTCAAAGCCACCGGACCTCCTAAAAGGCAAAAAGAACTTTAAGTATGCAGTTAAAAACTATCTTGATATTAAGTAGACTTTATTTAATGTTTACCTTTACATAATTCCTTAGTGATAAGCACTTTCCCCTCCATCTACACCCACAGAGACGTACGTCCATGAAAACTGGACAGACCACTCCTGGGGTTCCTGTATCCCCCCACTACGCCCGGTTCTCCTGAATATTTCTTTTACCTGAGTTAAACTGCACTAAAGTCTCTCTGGATAGCCATCCTTTCTCCATTGGCATAGCTCAGCAGGCTGCCAGGGCTACTTGGTGTCCAAGGAGTACAACATATACCAAGAAACATGGATGGGGAAAGCACTAGAATCCCACTTTTCGAAAGATGCCTTCCTAAGAGGAAGCCTGCGAGCATCCGGTTTCCAAATCCTACCCCCTTCTTCTGCTCACATCATAAAGGCAACTCTGTGGAAAATGCAGTCCAGGGTCCTTTATTGCTTTGAACATTAACTAAGTGCTGGCGAGGTTGTAGACAGGAGTAAGTCACCCTGCCTCTCCGCAGGGCCTTACACTTTGCATTGAGATGGAGAAGGGAAGCCCTCAACAAGGACGCAAGACAGGCTCGGGATGAAAGGAGCCAAAGGGAGGAGATGAAAGTGCCAAATAGCAAGCTTGTTAGAAACTGAGTTTAAGGGAAGTATAATTTTGTACAATAAACACTGTTAACGCTTGAAGAGAAAAGAACAGCAGAACTGGAACTACTTTTACAAAAACATGAGCATAACAAAAAGATGATGACAGAAGAAATGCACGGAGAAGTCACTTTCTATCAATCTCCTCCCTAACACCTGACAAAATGCCTACTGGATACTTACTAAGTCACAAGTAGTCAAAGACTTGGACTCCGAGCTGGAGGACCAGCCCAGCGGTAGACCACCTGCCTAGCACGCACTAGGCCCTGGTCCAGTCCGGGAAGAAAAAAAAAAAAAAAAAAAAGACACCAAGTCCCGTGGCATCTAAGCTGGGCCAAAGTAAAGGGTGGAGGTGACTGGAAATTGCCGTGGCCCAACACCAACATGGGGGCAGACACTTCCCGGAACGCAGGAGTGAAATGGAAACATTTCATAAAATCCATAACTAAGAGGCCCTGAAAATGTAGTCACTGTAGACTCTTGTTTGATTTACAAATACTGAGAGATTCTAATTTCTTCACAATGTCTAAGAACTCTAAGAGCGTTCTGAAAGGTGGGTGTCTCTGGCCATCCCACCTGAACACGCCCAATCTCATGTGAACAGTGGTTGGCTTTTCTCAAGCCTGAGATGACTACAATTCAGAGTACACCTGAGCAATTAATATGAGGTTCGGGGTCAAGTAAATATGAGATTACAACTCACAGTAATCAAAAAAGGCACTTTTCTAATGCAATGTAAGTTTTGTTTCCAAGTGAGCTAGTTGGTGGAAAAGACATAGATGTTATTTTAGTAATATCTATTAAAATAGCCAGGCATGGTGCTGCATGCCTGTAATCCCAGAACTCAGGAGGCTGAGGCAGGAGGATTGCCATATGGCCTATTTGAGGGCATGGTCAGTGACCATGGCCTATTTCTGCATGGGCCCAGAAGACAAGAATGGTTTTTACAGTTTTCATTTTATACTGAAAACATACAAAGGGTCCGAGACCATACGTGTCCTGCAAAGTCTAAAATATTTCGGATCTGGCCCTTAACAAAAATGTTTGCCGACCCCTGTTCTAGAGCGAAGTGCAGAGCACTCAAGTCTAAGCTACTGTATTATTTAGTATCAAGACCAACCCGTTGAAAAATTAAAAGATAACAAGAAGCAATGATCAATATCAGGTAGTGTAGTTTGGCCCTACGATGCTAAAGAATTTATAAGCTCTACATGGATGAGTTATCTTCTTTTATCAGCAAAAGCCAACCACATTTTTTAAAGACACGTCTCACAGTCTGTACTGCAACCCGCTTGCGCACGCCTCTAGGGCTTCCCTCTGAGGCGGTTTCTAGAGAGGCGGGGCCCGATTACCTGTGGACAGCGGCTGCTCCTCAGAGCTCTTCAGCTCCACGCTCGGTTGGATATCTGAAAAGAAAGGGCGTGGTTACAAATATTAGCTCCTTATGGTACATTTCCAGACTTGAGCATTCCAAATAAGGGTACCATCTTGGCAAGCTTCGGGGCCATTATTTCTCTTTTAGAGCAGGACCCCACTTCCTCTATGCTGTCCCCAAAAAGCACCTGATGGCGAATGAAAGGAATCAGTGGTGCAGAGCTTTCTGCCAAAGGTCTAGTTACACCACGAACAAAGGTCCCAGTAGAACTTCAAGTGTCCTTTATTCTTCTCCCCCAACACATACAAATAATTCTTTGAGGTAAGATCTTGCTATATTGCCCAGAGTAGCCTCGAAATCAAGATCCTCCTGCCTCAGCCTCTAGAGGATCTGGGATTACAGGTGTGTGCCACCAACCCCCGCTTCCCTTCAAATATTTTATTATGACCATTTTCAAACATACAGAAAGAAGTATACAGAGAACACTTACTCCCCAGCACTAGATTCCCTAGTGACATTATGCTGTTTTTCTGTTCTATCATATCTTTCCACTTATTTGTTGTTCTGTCCTTCTATCCACTGATCCATCTCATTTGGCACATTTCAAAAGATGCAGACATACCTCTACTTCCCTCCTAGCACTTTAGCGTGAACAGTAATTAGATGTCCATATTTAAAAATGCATATCCTAGCTGGGCGTGGTGGCGCACACCTGTAATCCCAGCACTCGGGAGGCTGAGGCAGGAGGATCACTGTGAGTTCGACCAGCCTGGGCTACGTAGTGAGTTCCAGGTCAGTCTCAACTACATAGTGAGACCCTGTCTCAAAAAACAAAACAAAAGAAAAGAAAAATGCACATCCTAGTCATGTAAATTCCCATCAAGATACAGAACATTGTCCTAGGAAAATTCTCTACTGCTCTTTCTACCCAGTATTCCTTTCTAGCATCTGTTAGTTTGGGCTGATCTAAACTTTACAGAAATGAAACCATACAGACATACAGCACACTTGCTTCTGCCTGAGCCGCCTTTCACTCAACATAACATTTTGGGGACACATCCATTCTGTGGCCTTTATCAGTAGTTTTTTTCTTCATTATTAAATAGTATTCCACCACATGATGCACCAGTACTGGTCCATCCTCTGTCTGAGGGGCACCTAGATGGTGTCCAGCTTGGCCCATTATGAATAAAGCGACTGTGATATTTCTGTTTTCTTTTTCTTTTTTGGGGGGAGGGTACCAGGGATAGAACTCGGGTCCTTGCGCTTGCGAGGCAGGTAGCAGTGTGATCTTTCTTTTTTAAATAAAAAATGACTAAGTTTCGCGAAGGTAGTGTGACAATCCCTAAACAGTTCTATACTCAATTTCCTCTTTTATCGACTTCTTGCTCTGTGTATGAAACTGACACAGTGTAGTGATCCCAGCATCCTGATGCCCTTCTTCCGCTGATACCCTTTTTCTGTCCCAGGCCCCACGTTATACTTAGTCACTGTGTTTCTTCAGGCTGCTCTTGGTTGTGCTAACTTCTCAGACTTTATCTTGATGGCCTGGGCAGGTATTTTGTGGAATGGCCCCCACTGGGATTGGGTTTTTTTTGCCTCATGATTGGACTGGGGTGTGTTCATCCTTGTGAAAGTCTTTCAGTGGCTGTACATATTCACAGCTCTTTTTTTTCCTCATTGAGTGTATTGGTCCATTTTAGGTATACAGTACAGTTACAGTCATCATTGGGATCTTGTACCTTTACATGACAGATCTTGGTTCTCATTTTTCCCCATATTTTGCCCTTTCTTTACCCCCTCCTCCCTTCCCTATTTACAAAAACTTTGTTTCCATTTTTTTTTGTTTTCTCATATTTTTTTCTTTTCCCTTATATTCATAGCTCTTGAAGAAAGACTTGGATGTGAAATTACTGGGTCACAGACCAGGCACATGTTTAGTTTTAACAGAATGTGCCACAGTGTGTTAAAAAATAGCAGAGCCCCCAATACCAAAAAAAAAAAGAAAGAAAGAAAAAAAAGCAGAACCATCAGGCATGGTGGTACATGCCTGTCATCCCAGCACTCAGGAGGCTGAAGCAGGAGGATCACTGCAAATTCAAGGTTAGCCTGGGCTACACAGAAAGGCCCCATTTTGGAAAAAAACAAAACAAAACGGCAGAACCATCAGCAGCCAGATGAATTCCTCCACCTGGCCCATATCTTCATCAAAATTTGGTATTATTAGAATTTTAAGTCATTCCTGCTTCCATTTGAATTTACATTTCTCTGAAGAGCTAATAATACTAACTGACAATGTGAAATAGGAAAAAGGAGGCTAAAGGGATGGGGGAAATATGAAGGACAAGGGAAAAGGAAACAATATGAGAAAAAGAAAAAATGGAAACGAGGTCTTTGTAAATAGGGAAGGGTGGAGGGGGTGAAGGGAAGGCAGGGCTATGGGGAAAAAATAAGAACCGAGATACATCATGTAAAGATACAACATCCCAGGGGCTGGGGATTTAACTTAGTGGTTCTGCTCCCTGCCTCCCAAAAAAAGACACAACATCCCAATGATAAATGTAAGTGTACTATATACCTAAAAAGTACCAGTAAACTCAATGAAAAAATAAAAAAGAGCTAATAATACTATTTCTGACCAGTACCAATTCTTTTCCCTCTTGTGATACTGGGGATGGAATCAGGGATGCTCTACCACTGAGCTACATCCCAGCCCCTTTTTATTTATTTTGAGACAAAGACACTAAGTTGCCCAGTCTGGACTCATACTAGTAATTTTCCTGCCTCAGCCTCCAGAGTAGCTGGGATTACAGGCATAGACCACTAATCAATCCTAACTAATCAATCCTTTGTCAGACATATGTTTTGGTAGTACTTTCTTCTAGTCTGTAGCTTGCTTATTCATTTTCTTAATGGTGTCTTTTTTGTTTGTTTGTTTGTTTTTGAGACAGGGTCTCATTATGTAGTTGAGACTGACCTGGAACTCGCTATGTAGCCCGGGCTGGTCTCGAACTCACAGTGATCCTCCTGCCTCAGCCTCCCGAGTGCTGGGATTACAGGCATGAGCCACCACTCCCAGGCTTAATGGTGTCTTTTGATATTCAAAAAATTTAATATAATCATTTTAAATGGATTTTGTTTTCCCCTTCTTATTTAAGAAAACTTTGTCATCCCCAAATTGTAAAGCCAATCTCCTGCTTTCTTCTACAAGCTTCACAGTTTTTGGCTTTTATGTTTCAGCCCATGACCCACAGTGAACAAAGGTAGAAGTTGATGTCAGTTGTTCTAAGGCCATTTGTCAAGCAACTTTTCTCTACTGAATTGCTTTAATCCCTTTGTCAAAAATTAAAGGAAGCGTATGGGTTTATACCAGTACCGTAATATCTTCATGTTTTCTAGTAAGTCTGGAAGTTGGCTAGTATCAATTCTGTTCTTTTAAATATGACTTTGGCTATTTTAGATCATTTCCATTCTCATATGTTTTAGAATAAAATGTCTATTTTTTTAAAATTTGGAAGGACTATGATTGGAATTGCATTTTATCTACAGATCAGTTTGAGTCTTAACACTACTGAGTTTTTCAACCTATGAATATAATACCTCTCTCCACTTATAGGATTTAGGTCATCTTTAATTTTACTCAGCAATGCTTTACAACTTTCATATGGAGGCTGTACATGACTTTTATTAAATTTATTCCTAAATGTTATGTGCTGTATGACACTATTATTTTCTTTCTCTTTTTTTTTTTGGTACCAGGGATTGAACTTGGCACCACTGAGCTAAATCCCCTGCCCTGTATGACACTATTATAAATGAAATGAATTTCTTCCTAATTCTTTATAACTAGTATATAAACATATATTGCATAATATCTTTACATTCTGAGATCTCACCAGATTAATGTAGTTTTAATAATTGGCATCATCCTCAGGATTTTCAAGATCAGAAGTTATTGTTTTAACTGTAGGCTTTCCACAGAGTCTAAGAAGTTCCCTTCTATTCCTAACTTGCTGAGAGGTAGGGTTTTGTTTGTTTGTTTAAAGCATGAATAAATGTAGACATGTGTCAAATACTTTTTCTGCAGCTATTCCAAGATCCTCTATAGCTAATGCTTAGCTAGTGGTCTAGTTGCTATTCAAAGTATGTTTTCCCACATCAGTTTTGTCACCTTGGATGGTTATATTATTTCACTCCTGAGACAAACCGTGGCCTAAACCCTATGCTTCTGAGATAGATCCTTGCTTGTTTGTGATACAGTTTCTGTTTCATGTACTTCTGGTTCCAGCTGGTAAGACTTATGAAGGAGGTATGCATCCATGTTCATGAATGATTTGGGTTTGTAATTTTATTTTCTTTTATGTCTTTGTTAGGTTTGGATACCAGTTTTGTAGCGTTCCTCCTTTACTTTCTAGAATTGTGTAAGATTAACTTTACTTCCTTCTTAAATGTTCGGTAAAATTCAACTGTGACACCATTTGGGCCTTTGGGTCTTTTTTTTTGGCGGGGGTACCAGGGACCTAACTTGGGTCCTTGCACTTGTGAGGCAGGCGGCAGGCGGCAGCACCACTGAGCTAAATCCCTGGCCCTGGGTTTTTTTTTAAAAACAATTATTTCAATTTTTTAAATAGGTAGAAGATAATTCAGATTTTTAATACTATTTTGCATTACTTTCAGCAAATTTTATTTTTAAAGAATTTGCCTATTTTAAGTTGTCAAATGTATAATTTAAGATTGTATAAGATTGTAACATTGTGTTGTTATCCTTTTAATTTCTTTAGGATTTGTATTATATTTTCATTTTTATATCTGTAATCTGCACTTGATCTTGGCCAAAAGGCTGAGAAGTGATATGTATTATTTGTAATCCGTAATCTGTATATTCCCTTTTCTTTGTTAGTATAAAGGTTTTATCAGAACCTACTTTTGGCTTGGTTAATTTTTTCTATTGTTACTTTTCTTTTTTATTGGTTTTGCTCAACTTTATTTTCTTGTTTTTACTTTGGGTTTAATTCATGCCTTTTCCCCGCA